CATGGGCGGCAAGCCACTCCCACAAAGGAGGCCACACCCACAGAGTAGGTTTGAACAATTTTTTGAAACCCACCACTGACTGGAAACGACTAGTATGCATGTGAGGGGAAACCTTTACCTTTAGTTTGGTAAAGGATGGAACCCAATCAAGTATGTCTTCTTTGCAGACATTAATTGGGTCATGTCATGCACCAAGATTCATATAATTAAAGAAGATATTTTCTAATAGGATGATTCAGTCCCAGCACTGCAAAGATTCAGAGTTCTAGCAAAGATAAGATCTGATTTTCAGGGGCAAAACTACATTTTGTACTCCTTAACATCCACAAGATATCACTTAAAAAATTACAAGATGCAAAGGATGTAATAGTGGGCTGCTTGGAGTCTCCTAAAAGGTGACTTGTTCAAGACAAGGTGAACTTCTGAAGATTGAACTCAGAAGTAATCTTAGCTTTTAAAATTCTGATACATATTTTATTCAAAAACATTAATTATTTGGGGATAGGCAGCAGCATGCAGTTTCCAGATGGATTCTTCAATCAGCCTGAAGGGTTCATTCATCGCCATTTCCTCAGAAATAGGATTCTGATGTATGGTTTTGTGCCTTCAACCTTTTGAAATTTAAGCACCCACATCAAACTAAAGCATATCTTAATAACAAAATCAGCCTGCAGGGAGATGTCTACATTTTGCAAATAAATAGCTAATAAACATTCATTTGAATGTTGAGAATGTTTGGAAACTGTCTTGGCTGGCACATTAACTGAATAATGTTACTAGACTAGTCTCTGCACCAGATCTAAATCAAGAAATTGCTCACCTGAGGCACAATAGCCCCAGAATCCATAACTTCTCTGACCCTTCAAACCCAAGCAAAGATGCAAATAATCCAGAAATAGCTACTTAATATATAGCTGTTAAGCCCTTAAGCATCTTTTCACTATGATCAGGTAGTAAAAATATAGTAGTGATAAAGTTAAGCAGTAATTTTCTGTCTTTTCATGGCATCTAACATCAGCTGCCTTGGACAGATGTTTTGCTCTGCTGAGCAGGTTTTTAGAAGTCTTATTTTCCTTAACATATTTGGCTATTTACAANTTTTCCATGAGAGGTTTCTTTTAGCCCAATGCTACCTTCTAGAAGTTTGTTTGTTTATTCCTGTCAGAAGTATCACATTTAAATAAGGGATGCTATATGACCTGAAAATTTAAAATATAAAATACAAGATTAAAATATATACAAAGTAAACAGATCTTCCCCCAGAAACTGGCAATATTAATTGCATTCTGTCACACTGCCATGTGGTCCACAAGGGTACAGGCAAGTATACATATCTGTTGTGGTCTGCATGACACCACAACCGCAAAGAGAAGAAGCCACCAGACAGGCCCCATATGTTCCGTGTCTCTCGATCTTGTTGTACCCGTGGGTGGAAGTAAGTTAATAAGAGGAAACTATTTTAGAGAGCAATTAATTAGTTAATTTACATAGCACAATGAAAGTGTTAACTATTGATGGAATAGTGTTTTAATTTAAATTAATGATTACAACTCTTACTTCATTTAACATTATTTTATTACATTATTTTGGTTTATATTGCTATATTGCTAATGTTTCTGTTTCTATAAATCCCTAAAAATCACCAAATAGTAGCAGTTTACAAATCTGATCATTAAAAAGTGAAGGGGGGAACCAAAAAGATGAATTTTTACAAAACTCTACCTGAATGTTTATTTAAAAATTAGAAGAGGTTCGCTATCAATGGACCATAAACTCAAAGATAATTTTGATAACATATATTAATGTTATAAAAAATGTTCTCAAAAATTTTCTGTTTTCTCAGCCATGGGGATAGGCAGTTATCTCACAGGACAAAAAGATAGATTCTTACAGCATCAATCAGTGCTTCTGTGTAATGCTAATGTGATTGGAGCTCTTAATGATTAGCATCCTTTATCTTGCATTAGAAAAATTGTGTATAATATCAAGAATCATTACACTGCTATAAGATAGTGATGGTTTCTCTGTCCCTCCTTTAATCTCGTCTGGACTTTGTTTGGATGGAACTTAGTTTGGTAAAGGGATGTGGTGGCTCAGTGGCTAAGATGCCAAGCTTGTCGATCAGAAGGTGAGCAGTTCAGTGGTTCAAATCCCTAGAGTAGTGTAATGGAGTGAGCTCCTATTACTTCTCCCAGCTTCTGCCAACCAACCAGTTCGAAAGCTCATAAAAATGCAAGTAGAAAAATAGGGACCACTTTGGTGGGAAAGTAAAAGCACTCTGT